CCTTTCTTAAAACAGAGGAGGAAGGACTAGTTTCCTATCTGCTTTATAGGGCCGATCTAACTCTTAACACCAAAACCTGCCAAGGACTTTAGAAGAGAAAAATTATAGGCCATTATCGATATCTAATGAACATCGATGCAAAAAGTCCTTAATAAAATACTAGCAAATTAGTCTATTGACACATGAAAAGGGTGGAGTAAATGAAGGTTATCCCTGAAATGTGAGGTCCGTTGGACATTCAACACAATCAGTACGATTCACGTTAACAGTGGTGAACAGATCTCAATAGATTGAGAAGAGCATTTGACACAATTAAACACCCTTCACAATAAAAGCTTTCAGGAAACAGGATGGAATGGAACCTCCTCACTCTAATGAAAACACAGACTACAAATACTGAATGCTGTCTTCTGAGACTGGACACAATGTAGGATGCCCACTCTCATTCCTTTTCTGTTTGTTTGTTTGTTATAGGGTGTCTGTGCTCGACAGAGAGCCACACACAGAAACGGAAAGTAGAAATCACTCCGCAGCCCGGGGGAATGGCCACACTGCAATCCTGTCTCCTCCAGTCTCCTTGGAATTTTGGGCATGAACATGTGCACGTGTACCCGATGTGTTTGTTGTTGTATTTATTTATTTACTTTGGAGAGGTTTTTGCTATAGGGTGCATGTGTTCGCCAGAAAGACAGAGAGAGACAGAGAGACAGAAAGCGAGAAATCACCCCCAGGGGGGATGGCCACACCGCGATCCCTTCTCCTCCTTTCTCCTCTCGGGGTCCTGGGCACACACGCACACGCACATGCGCCCGGCGTGAATTTTAAGCCACCGGGTCCGGGATGCGAACCATGGTCGACCACATGGGGGTCCAGCGACATAGCCATTATGCTAACTGGTGGTTCCCTCTAAATTAATTTATAGATTTAACTCAATCCAAATTCTAGCAAGCTTTTTTAATTTTTAAAGGTAGAATGGACAATTTTCTTCAAAGAATTATTATATTTTACATTATTTATTTACTTATTTATCTTCATTTGACCAGAGAGGGATAGAGTGAGAGAGAGGAGAGAGAGAGAGTGCGAAAGAAGGCTGCCAGGTCCAGGACTTGAACTGTGGTCGGCCATGTGGACCATGTGGGAGTCCAGCGCCCTTAACCACCACACCATCTGCTGGGCCTATAGTGGACAATTTCATTCTAAACTTACATGCAAGTCCAGAGAACTGAAAATAGTCCAGAAAATCTTGAAGGAAACAAACCAAGTTGGAGGCCTCACATGGCTGGATTTCATGATAGCTACGGAGTATCTCATCAGTCAAACAGAGAATGCAGAAGTAGACCCATCTGTACCCAGCCAGGCCAGTTACAAGGGCATCCATGTGGTTCTACGGGGAAGTAAAGTGCTTTAATGTAGCTGAGCATCCATGTGGGAGGAAGAGAGAGCCTCGAACTGTCTCGCCCCATGTACAATAATGAATTTAAATTGGATCATGGGGGACTGGCAGGTGGTTAAGGCGCTGGGCTCCCACATGGCTGACTATGGTTTTAGTCTTGGACTTCGTGGTTTGCTTTCTCACTCTGTCTCTCTCCGGACAAATTTTAGAAAAAGAAATTAAATTAAATTAAGTAATTCTTAAAACAAACACATAAATAAATAAATAAATAAGATGGATCATGGAGGGGCCAAGGTGGCATAGTGGTTCAGGCGCTGGACCCCCACATGGCTGACCATGGTTCAAGTCCTCAACTTGGTGGCCTGTTTCCTCACTTTCACTCTCTCTGGTGAACTAAAAAAATATTAATTGTGGGCCAGCAGGTGACATGGTGGTTAGGGGCTCTGCACTCCCAGGTGGTTGACCATGGTTCAAGTCCCAGACCTGGTGGCTTGCTTTCTCACTTTCTCTCTCTCACTTTCACTCTCACTCTGTCCCTCCTAGGTCAAAATTAAAATAAATAGGGACCAGCAGTTAGCGTAATGGCTATGTCGCTGGACTCCCATGTAGTCGACCGTGGTTTGAGTCCCGGACCCGGTGGCTTAAACTCACGCCGGGTGCATATGTGCGTGCGTGCTCAAGATCCCGAGAGGAGAAAGAAGGAGAAGGGATTGCGGCGTGGCCATCCCCCCGGGGGGTGATTTCTCACTTTCTATCTCTCTGTCTCTCTCTGTCTGGCGAGCACATGTGCCCTATAACAAAAACCTCTCCAAAAAAATAAAAAATTAAAATAAATAAATAAAGTTAAAAAAAGAAACTTCTTAAAGAGTAATAATAGTAATACATAAATTAAATAATCATTTTATTTACTTATTTTAAATAATTATATGTTTATTTAATTGCACATGTTATTTTTATTAAAAAAATATTTTTTTATTTGACCAGACAGAGATAGAGAGAAAGGGAAAGCAAGAAATCAAGCCACCAGGTCTGGGACTTGAACCACAGTCGGCCATGTGGGAGTCCAGTGCCTTTATCCACCAGGCCACCTGCCGGTCTCTTAGATCAATATTTTAGAAAGAAATGGATCAAGGACCTAAATGCAAAAGCCTCCACTGTGGAATGTCTAGAAGAAAACAAAGGGCCAGGTGGTGGCCTGGTGGTGGGATAGCTGGATCCACAGGGCTGACTGCATGGCTCAAGTCCCGAACTGGCGGCTCGAGAGACACACTGGCATGTGTGCGTGTGCCCAAAGTGTCATGCCCAGCCCCTCTGGGGGGTGATTTCTCACTTTCACTTTTCCTCTC